TCCTGCACACACAGACCCGAGTTCTGCCCAACACTACTGGAACATATCACCCATCATACATCCAAAAAAAATAAAATCAATCCAAACAGTCCCAGCCACCTCTTCCATTCCAGCCTGGGAAGCTGGGCAATGGACTCAATTCCCAACTGCAGCAAAGGGATTACTCTGAAAACCTCTCAAACAACAAGAGCAAACATTGGATGTCAAGGAATTCACAAGGGAAGTTGGGCTGAATTCCTGCTTTCTGATGTGAGGAAAGCAGTGATTCCTATGTCTTCTCTGAGATTCAGAAGATTATCCTAGAAAATCTCATTTTTTTATGACACAGCTCTCTAGTGGTGGATTTCTTTACTTAAAAAGTACAACATATGCCACCAGAGCCTTGTGTGCCTGATCTTGCCAACACCTTCAGAAACAGAAATCACAAGTAATAGCCAAGGTTGTTTCCATACTAAGACCTATAAATAAATTCCTTGGGAAGGGGAGTCCTTTCCTAAACAATTAAAATCTAATTAGCAATTTCTTCTGCATTTTAAAAAACTTATCTAAAGAGTTATAAATGGCTACCAGCTACTTGAGTACTCAATGAGAACGTCAAAATAAATCTCTGCAGGTTTCAATTCCTCTTATTTAGAACCAGGAAAACAAGAGAAAACCTGCCCAGGACCTGGTAAATTTGGGGGGTTTGATAACTTTCATATATTTTCATTCTCATTATACTGTCATAAGCAGCAGAGTTTCTCAGCTTTCAAATATTTTCAGATCACTTGATATATAACATTTCTTTTGAGGTTGCTAAACCCTACTGAGCTATGTCCTGCCTACAGCAGGGCCCTGCAGGCCTGTTGTGGTAGAAGGGTTTTGACACTCAACAATTAGAAGGCAAAAGCCAAATGGAAATCAACTCCAGCTCAATCAGCCTTTATCATTCTGTAATTATATCTAGAAAATTGTCAGATGCTGATTAACCAGAGGTGTTCAGAACTGCTTTGATGAAGGGAGTCAGAACTAAATAAAAAGATTTTTTTGTGAAGTGAAAAGCAGGGAGGGGGGGAGGAGGAATAAAAGCTGCTAACATGATGAGTTTGGACTTATATCACAGAATATTCTGATTTTGAAGGCACCCATAAGGATCATTGAGCCCAGCTCCTGGCTCTGCACAGGACCATCCTCAAGAGTCATCCCAAGTGCCTGAGATTGTTGTCCAAATGCTTTTTGGACTCTGTCAGGCTTGGTGCTGTGACCACTCAGTGCCCAACCATCCTCTGGGTGAAAAACCTTTTCCTAATACCCAAACCAAATTATGTTATTGTCAGTATTTTATTTAGATGGCGACTATTAAATAATTCACTCTGTCAACAGCAATAAGATAAAACCAGAAAACATTTAACATTTTAAAACAGGACCATACATGGACAGACTATAAGCTTGAGCCTGTTAACAGCCTGTATTTTCTGTCTGTAAAGACAGACTGTAATTCATCTCTGATGAACCTGAAAAATCTCCCTAATCAGTAAAAGCCAACTGGATAAATAAAGCAATTTAGACAGGTGCACAGAACCAACTCATATTATCAGCAATCATTACTATTATTCTTGCTGTTTCTGAGAGCGAAGGAATTGGAATATTATCATCAAATCCTACATATAGCCACAAAGAAATTACAGTTACCTTAATGATTATTTTAAGTCAAACCAAGAAAGAGTAAATGGGTGGGCAGTTATCACCATGGAGTAGCTGAGCAGAAATTCAAAGGTGGGGTTTCTGTCCAAGTGTGATGTAAAGGATAATTTTTACTAAATTCTAGTCCCACAATGCCACAAGAATACCTTTCATATTTCCTTCATATGCTATTGGAGAAAGTTCTGAAGGCTTTAGCCAAGCTAAGAGATAGAAATGCTGAATATTTTTCTGATAACTGAACACAAGTAACAAAACTGATGAAGCAGAGCTGTGAGGGAAAAATGGATAGATATAAATTTAATTGCAGCAACTTTAGAATTGCTTAATACCAATAACAGAAAATTTGGGGTTATTTTCCTCCCAGATTTAGAATATGAGCAATTTCCCAGAAAAATTATTGACAAAATCTCATTAAATTCAATGGAACAGGATAAATCTTTATAATTCTGTCTAATTTTATTGGAAGTTGTATCTACAAAACAGGTGTCCAAGGAGACTTAGAGCCAAACAGTGAAATATTAAGAGCTTATTTAGTGCAAATGAAAATGACACTGAGATTTTAAACCCCAAGAATAGAAACTGCTTAGACTGGGGAGAATGAAGATACAAGGGGGGGAAAAAACCCAGCCTAACTGTTGTTGCAGGCTGAATTGATCAAGGCCAGAAGGCAGAACATCTTCACAAACAGATTTCCAGCACAGAGAGAAATCAAGAGAAAGAGATCTGAAAGTTGAGGCTGACAACATGAAATATGGATTAAAATAACCCAGCCTGCCCCTCCATGACTCAGCCCACTCACAGACATTATAGTGCAACAATTCACCATTACTCATTCATCTTGGTGTTCGTGATCTCAAAGATGGCAACCCCAAAATAAAACTTATCTGGCTTAAAAACTTTTTCTCTAGAAAGAATCCACATCTTGTAATGTCAAATGGAAAAAACCTCCTGTTGGCCCAGGGAGGGCAGGACCCTCTTGGCCTGTAAAGAAACTTGCACCACTCTGCAGCTGCCAGGGCTTCAGCTGCCCTCTTTCTGCTCCACAGAAAGTCCAACAGATTCAAAGTTTTGTTTGTTTTTTTTCCAACAGGCAGATTACCTCCAATCACCTTCTATCACTTCTTCCTTGTCTTTGTACCTTTGAAAATTAGTTCTTCAAATTTCTGCCTCGCTTCTCTTATCTGCCGAAGCCCCTTCCACTTAATTAGAATTGTTTAAATTTCGAGTGTGCTTCCAAAAAATATATTTTAGTTTCAATAAAATATTGTATCTCATCTCTTGAGCACATTATTGGAGCTCCCATTTGCTCCAGTTCTTTTCCTTTTCCATTCCAGGGTGTGCACACATCTGTGATGCTAATAAGACGCTCTTTACATTCCTCCATATCAAGTCCAGGGATTTAATTTCCTAATCTTTTCCTTTCAGGTGATTTCTAATTTCTTTTAAATAGAAAGAGTTTCCTTTTTGCAGGCTAATATTGCTTTTTAACCCCTTGGTGATACCTCTGAACCATGTTAGGATTACTGACCTCACCCCATTCCCATTCATCTCCTCACAGGTGCTCAGGACTACCTAGAAGGAAATCCCTGTCACTGTGGTTCACTGCTTTAGCAATTCTGCAAAGAATTTATTTCCACAAAGGTGGGAAATTGTCCATTTTGGGGTCTAGGTGGAGATCCACAGACAGGCAATGCCAGTACCCCTGGTAGAGCCCTGGTGAGCTGGGGAGCCCCCAGTGCAGTGACCACTCTGCTCAGCTGAGAGAAGCAGAGGCTGCAATTAAAATCAGTATGAAGATGCTTATCTTTCATTTGAGAAACTGTGAGAAAGTAGCTGACACTATTTCTGAATGCAATTCTCCATGATTGTCACAGCTGCAGTAGGAGAGGAGGTTTCCATGAGGAAGAGGCCAAGAGCACTGTTCAGTGAGAGGGAACGTGATCCCTACTGGAACTTCCGTGAAAAAATCATGAAACAAAAACCATGGAGGCAGCTGGTTTCTGACAGCTAAATAATACCCAAGCCTACTCGTTTTGGTTAGTGTCAGAGCTGCCTTGCCATCTGACAGCCATCTGCTTTCCTTTCCAATCCCAATGCACTAGGGAAGGGGCTGGAGAAAACCTTGAAAGCACACAATGAGAAATAAAATAAATAAAAGAAAGCAAACTAGATTTATTAAACTAAGCATCCTATGCAAGATATTTAAGGCATTTACTTAAAGTGTTTGCATTTTAAAAAGGTCAAATTAAATTAGCCATTAATTTTCGCCCAAGTTGCCTACAATTGTCTCCGAAATTTAATCTAAATGGACTGATATAAACCATTAATTTGCTCAAACTCCTTCAATAACTGTCTTACTGGACACAAATCAAGTGCAATGAAGGAGGAGACCCATTTTTGTATTATTTGTATATCTGCTAGAAGGACTATTTGCAGTTAGGACTATTACTATTATTTTTTAGGCATGATCAAAAATAAATGGGCTGGAAACAAACTGTGCTTTCTTATTGTTTCTTTGGGTGAAGTTACAGAAAGCAAAAGAAAACAGTTTTATTTCCGCTTGGCAGAAGTGTGTTCATAAATTTTTTAAACGGCTCAATTGAAATGCTCACAAACTCCACTGCTGCCCATATGAAATGAGGAATTTTTGATTCACTTATACATCCATGAGCCCAATATATTACTTATATTGGAGAAAGTTGAGGTAAGAGAGAAAAAACTGCTGTGCTAAGGAGAGCAGATTAAATAGTCTCTTGACAATAAAAAAATTTTTTTAAAAGAGCCTTAAGTAGATTCAGTGTTTTTATTTACCTCTACTGCTATTTTAATTTTAGCTAGCAGAGTAAAAATTTACTTGAATTTGTTACTCTAGAACAAATCTGGAATTCCTCTCTGTCTGATAGCCACAAATATAATTTAATCAATGTCTTCTGTGGTATTTTGTCTAACATAATTGGACACCTTTTTAACCCCTTATCTGCTCCCAGAAGAAAGGGAATCACAGCAGCCACTGGACAATTACAGAATATCCAACACTTCCAGAGGTATTGGCCAACAAGAATATAACACCTACTCATTTTTTCCCTAAGGATGCAGCAATCAGAGTCACTTGTTTCTAAAAAAACATTTTCATGAAACTTGTAGAAATTTATCTTTCAGATCTTCAACCTTTCGCCTGGAGTGCTTAAGACTTGACATTACTTTCTACAGATTTTCACTGTGTGGGAGGAACTGCCCTGGCAGGCAGCAAACTTAATTTTTCCTTCAGAATACAAGTTAAAATAGTGTCTGGAATATGTTTGTCCTAATGAACTTACCCTTGGCCATGGATCGTGTGGGTTTCTGAGATGGGAGCAGCCTCTGTCACAGAAATGAAGTTCTCGAGTGCAGCACATTCCATTCTTGTAGTTGTCTTCACTGGGCTTGTTTTACTCTTCAAAGAACTCAGAATAATCTGTGCAAGGGGAGAAGGAAAGAACATTTTAAGGTCAGTCACACCTGACATCAGGGTTTGGTAGAAAAAGCAAATAGGAACATGGCAGAAATATCCAACTCTGCATTAATCAGCAGAAAATCTGGCTGTCAGGCTTTGACAATTGATTTAATTTAGATTTAAGTTTAGCCTGATAAGGATATTTTTACTTACTACAATTAGAGCATCTGATAAAACCCAGAGAATTAAAATTATGTTTAAATGCAGATCCTGGAATCAATCAGAACAAACACAAAACGGTTGTTCTCCCATAGGTATTACAACTATTTGCAGGCCTCAGCGTGTATTCCTGAGTGAATCACTGGCAACCTGATGGCTGATAAACCTGGGCAATAATTAATTCATATAATTTTTTTTCTGATATACCCTTCCCACCTACAATAAAATGTGGGAAGTCTTATTCATCCTGATCTACCACTACGAAAATAAGCAATTCTCAACATTAATTCAACAGCTCCACCTAATCTCCAGTGAAATAAATATTAAATGCAAACTTTGTCTTTTGGGCAGAACAAAACTGAACATACTCAAATTTATGTCTTGATTTTGCAAGTGTGAATTTGTCTGTATACAAGAGAAAATGCAGATCTTTGTGACAAAAACTTGTAAATTTGTGCAAAAGTTCAATTGTATCTATAAATGCTCACACACAAAATTGATATGCTGGAATACAGTCAGGCCTCATTTCCTTAAACAAAAGAAAATAGGAATTTTAAACTGCAGTTTATAACAACTTATCACTACTCAGAGTTCAGTGATTTAGCACTTGGCTCTGAGTGCAACCTGGATCTAATTCTGTGTCAACAACCACCATGGAAAAAACTGGTCCACAGTTATCTATCTATTTATTTGAGTTTTCTTTTTCAATTAAAAATTTATCCTGAGCAAACAATGAACATTGTCAAGAGAGCTTGCTACTGCAGGGGGGGGAACAAGGGTATACATTCAAAAATTTGGAGAGTTTCTGAGACAAGAATCTAAACAATAATTGTACTTCATTTGTAAATGTGTAAGGCAGTGAGCTAGTTGATGCTGCATTACAGCTGATCATAAGGAGGCTTTTCCAAAGCAAAGATATCTTTCAGCAGTAATTCCAGATTTTTCCACTTGAAAAGTCTCTGGAGGTTATGCACACATTTTATATGTGTGTATACATACACCTTATTTATGAGTGAGTATACACTCAACATCACACTTTGCCAATTCCCATGCACTCCCAAGACATCATAAAGGGAATTAAAAAGATCATGGAATCATCTCACACCTTGCAGCCCACCACCTTGCGGCCTGTGTTGATACCAGTGGTGTCCCAGCCCAGGTGCAGCTTAATCTCATTGAACCTCCTGAGATTCCCACTGCTCAAGCCTGTCCAGGTCCCCCTGGATGGCATCCAGATAACACTGTCAGAATTAAATGTAATATTTCAAAAGCAATCTACTCAATGCTAAAAACATCAAGGAGACTAAATCAATTTGAGCTCTAAACTTAAAATTATTTCATGCTTTTTGTTTGTGTATCCTTTCCTGTTTGATGTGGCAAAAAACAACAAGATTAAAGCTTTTGAAAGAGAAATGCTGATTTGTTTATACTATATATTGCCAATAATACACATCAGGGGAAAATAAAGCTGTCTGGCAAGAAGGTCCAAACCAAGGAATTGAAAATTAGGTTCTATAGTGTATAAATTAAAACAATAACACAATTGTTTTCTTAACAGTCAGAAATTCTCTCAATATCAAGGCTATCCTTGATCTTTTGCCTTGTGATATGTTCCAGAAGAAATCCCATCCACACAACGTTCTAAATTAACATGAAGCATTTACTTCTTTTTGGCAAATGTGAATTCTTCATTTGCAGCACATCTCACTGTAGAGGATTACCAGGTAATTCCTGTACTCCATGTGCTGGAGCTGGGGCAGGAGACACTCCAATTGAGATCATGCATCTGTGCCAAAATATTCTTTTCAAAAGCACACACCTGGACTGTTCTTCAGGTGCACTTCTGTGCTGATGGATCACAGATCAGACCAGATCACCTCCAAGGTTTTGCCACCTTGGACACCCCGATGGCACTGGGTTGGATTAAGTGTCCAGAACTAAACAACATCCAAACAGCAATTCTAATGGGACAGCAGGTACTGGAGAAAAAAATCCTGAAGCCTTAAATATGAGCTTTGCTTCTTTAACCTATTACCTGTTCTTCAGAATCTTGGTGCGCAACTTAAACTTTCCTGGTAACGTCATCCTTCCTGTTCATAGGTATGACAGCAGTTCACTCACCCTAAAAGTTCCCAGTATTCAGGCAGTTTATGATTTAATGTTTGTGAACATTTCATGTGTTTTACCCTCAGTCTTCAGGAAGGAGCTCATGATAATGGCAGGAATATAGGTAGTGGGAGGTGCATCCACTAATTTCCAGAGCCAGAAATCCAGCCACAAGAAGCTGTTTCTTCTAACATAATTTCCCTCTGTGCTTGTAGCCACGAAATATTGTTCACTAAACACAAAAAAACCTGAGTGATTTCAAGGTTTTGATAAAATATTCACCACCTGTCTGTCCTATTAGAAAGGTCTTATTTATAATAAAGAAAAGAATTAGCGTACTTTGTACCTTGAAAGAGACTTAAATGTTTGCAGTGCAGACAGGCCAGAAACTTGTTGGGTTCTACCTACTCATGTCAAGAAAGAAAAAATCATGAGGAATGTGTGACAGGCACTGAACTACAATGAGAAAACAGGAATACACACCTGTGTATCCCTGTTATGTCTTGAGGCAGAGTTTTTCTGAGCACAGCCAAACCCCCAGCAAAGCAGAGCACCATTTCTTCTGGGCACACACACCAGAAAGTACAGCTGTCACTATTGATGTGGAAATGACAAGTGTATTCTGTGTATTTTGTGAAGGGAACAGGGGAAGACAGGAGCAGCAGGCTGGGGGAGAGGGATGGGGCACAGACTGCTTGGCTGTGGCCTTGTCTGGAAGAGAGGCATCCTGACACCACCTTGCAGCACTTCCCTCCAGCAGCCTGGGATCAGCACACGTCACGTTTGCAGAATCAAAAGATGAACAGTCAGAGCAATCACTCCAGGGAGTGCAGAATGGGCCTGACAGCCAGACTTCCCCATTACTGTGGAGTTTAAAGCAGCACCAGTGCCTTAAGTTTTAGCTTTTTATATTTTTGAGATTCTGTGCTGCTTTAGTGCACAGTTCTGAGCTTCATGTTAAGTGTTAGTAAGCTCTCTTCACAGAGTAAGTAGACAAAACAATTCCTTTCCTAGGTTGGGACCAAGGACAATCAATACTAGTTTCAGGCCCAAGAGCATAAACAATGTGGACTGAAGAGAGAAAACAAGAAGAATGGGACTCCATAACCTAAAGCTGTAATTGAACAATTAACTCCAACATGCAAATGGACCAGAACTTATAAAAGTGAGAGATCTCATGACTGGTCATCCATTTTGTGACCATTTTTGGTTCATCTCAGGCATAGCTCTTGTGCTGCTCAAGGTGTATCCATTGAGTTCTTTTAATAAATACCTACTTTATTCTTTAACTCCATCTAGGCTCTGTTCCAGGTCAGCCTTCACAAGGCATCAGCTCTGCACACTGCTCAGGCAGCTGAGTGTCTCCATCACTGCCCAGGTGGCTTAAGCATGGCAGGGAGATGGGGCAGAGCAGACTGATCTGGAATGCCTCAGATTTCAGCTGCAGTCCCAGCACAAGCACTAACCTCCTGGGTGAACCTGCACTGATCCCTGTCACCTCCACACCTTTGTTTGCTTTTTCATCCTTTCTTAACTCTGAGGGAGCAGAGACTTTGAGGATTGATCTCTAAGCTTCAAGGGTAACCTGCAGTACTCCAGGAATTTAAAACAAAAGTACAATTTAAATCAAAAGTACAAAGTTACAGACTTCTTTGTTGGTTGCCACCTTGGATGCCCTTCGTACCCAGCAAACAGCCCAAAACTCCACAGAGGATAAAATGCAGGAAAATGTCCCTGTGGTCTTTCTGGGTGGGCAAGACTGAAGCTCTCTAACCCATCTCCACAGTGACAAATGTCAACTGTGACCAGCCATGGGCAGTTTTGGACAGAAATGGAAAAGACAGTGACAACTGAATAAGAGCAGCAGCATCTGAGGCTGGAAGGCTCCAGGTAACAACAAAGAGTTGCTGAAGTGAGAGCAGCACCAAATCCTTCTTCTACCCTTATCTGCTGGTTTCACCTCCAACTCTCGGCTATTCTTTTGCCTTGAAACACTAAAGCATCACCAACTTGTGAAGGGCATGAGGCCTTCTTGCCTAGCCAGCAAGGCTCTTGTGTAAAAGCACAAAGAAAAGCTGATGTGACCAGTTGAAACAATGAGAGATAGTCAGGAATCACTCAGGAATTCTCACGTTCTGAGTCAATGTTTAACAGCAATACAGACACAGATTTCAGGAATGTCTCTGAAGATTAATCCACTTCTACAAAAGAGCTTACAAATTAAGTCAAAAGAACAGTGAAGGAGAAGCAAAGAAGGACATTGCAATTATGGTGCTGCTTGGGTGTCTAATACATATCATAGAAGATAACACAAGAATTTTATTTGAGGTTCTGTTGGTGTTCTTTTAATGCAACTATATTAACTTTTAGTCTCTATGTAGTCAAGCTCTAAAGTCCTTAACCAGAGCATGTCATTCTGCCACAGAGACCCCTTCTGTGAGAAGACCACTAAGCCACAATCTGAAGAGACCAAAAGTAAATGCTGAGAAGTCAGGGTGGGAAAGTCTGAGAAGTTCCAGATCAACATTCCTGCTAAATCAGCAAGGAATTACAGAGTTAGGACAAGAATCTGCCAAAGCCCTCTGTCACAAATCAGCATCAACACAGTGGAATATTTAACCACTCCCACGAGGTGGTGTCTTGCTCTACACAGATAAAGACCACAAGCCTGTATTTATATCTGGTGTAACCTCTCAAAAACCTTCTAAACACCTCTCTGCCCACCTATCAGCCCTGCCCATCTCCTTGCACATCAGTATAACCCTCCTTGTCCCCCCAGACCCAGGGAACAGCTGGCCTTGGCCTAGATAAGTCTGTTGCCTCTCATTAGGTGACACATTATCCATTCCCTACACAACTTCAACCCATGGATCCACAAGGCTGTCACAGGTGAAGGTCTGCTTGTGCTGCACTCTGCCACCAAGATGAGAGGAGAAAAAAAAATGAGGAGAGTTGGTGAAAAGGCATTCTGGCATTTGACATTGTAATTTGGAGAGCAACAGCT